ACAGGGCTGCTTGCGGTCGCATTTGACCCTGAGGCTCACGATTAGCAGCGCAATCGAGCGGACGGACAAGGTAAAGTTCAAGTGCTTACTTGCGGGTGCGGCATAGGAGACAGGACACGGGCGGGCGATTGCGCTTCTGAATCTTGCGCTGCGGCGTACCGAACGGCTGTGCGCGAAAGACGTTTGTCTGGTAGCCGCCGGGCCGAGGCGTGTCATCCAACGACATTGCGGCCGTGGTCAGCGAGATATTTTCTTCTCTTTTTTTTTTCTTATTTTTATAGGTTAGATGCTGTAATTGTACGGTCGCAGATAATTTTAGCGTCGGCCTCGGTCGTCGAGACGAGACAGGGAATAAATAAATAACCTGGCTCGACGCGCGCCGCTGCTGGATCTTGGGCTACTTACAGGCTACCGGCTCCTATCATGAGAAGAAGTAGAGAATTGGCCTGGGAATATTGATATTCCTGATTGAGAATGAGAAGAATCGAGGTAGCACCTGCGGTACGAGCGTGGTAACGGTGACGGTAACGGCAATGGCAAGAGCAATGGCAAAAGCGATGGTCAAGCAGCCTGACCTCACACAAAGAGAAAGCACCAGGATTCGACCTTTTTTCATGCCCGCGTGCCTCGGGTCTTGGGGATGATATGAATATGGCACTTGGGCCTAGGTCTCATGGCTAGATAGGAATATAATATGAAGAATACAGTATGAAGAATATAATATGAATACGACACGAGGAATATAATATATAATACGATGCGGTATCTAAAGACTTGAGAACATCTGGTGTCTGTTCCGACTAGCTCTGGCGGAAGGGGTGATGTTGATGTGGATGTGGATGAGTTTTGTGGCTATAATTTTTCGAACGCAGCTCTCAGAATTAGTGATCCGTCATCCAGCGCGAAACGGCGTGAAGTCGTTTTTTTGGCACTCCGTCTTGGTAGATTAGTAGGCAGTATACTGTATAAATAGATGCCTATGCCTATGCCTACCCTGGGTCCTTGCGTAGACTCTCTCCCCAACTTCCGTCCCGTCCCAGGTCCTCGTCACTCCTAGACTGCTAGACCTAAACCTGGAGGCACGGATTTATGTACGGATTAAGCACTCTAGCTGCGCATACAGACCTAACATGCTACTGCGTATATACACCCGAAGCAGCCACCTAATGAGCAAGGCATCGAGTCTTGGCACATCACATCTTTCCCCATCGGGACAGGCATACTGACGACCGCGCGCCCGCCAGGGTTTAGCTGCCCCGTTCACTGCGTCTTGTTGCCGACGGACATTCCTCGGCTGGATTTAAAACAACGTACGACCGAGGCCCTTCTCTATGCCCAAGTACCTGTACTTGCCCCCCTCCTCCGGGACTTATTTTTAAACCACGAGACGGCCAGCAAGCCTCTTGTTCTCGAAGCCGGCTGTTTACTACATAGTAGTATTATTTGTCAAGACGTGCGGCTGCTAACCCGGTCATCCCTAATCCGGTTTGTCTGTCACTGCCAGAACACAGGACGGTCCAAAAAAATCTCCGTTTACATAGTACATGTTCCCAGTGGGGTAACTTCTTAGCTCCACATAACAGAGTTGAACATCACATCGAAGGCCCGGAATTAGACACGCGACAGCGAACCTTAGGGACACAGCCAAAGTACCCAAGGTTTGTATGTGCGTAATCATGCCCTTTCCTGGTTTCCGAGGCCGTGGAAGCAATCGGAGAGGTTGCCTGTCGCTCAACTTCTACAGCCATTTCCCTAGGAACCGTAACACCGAAAAACGTGGCAATCTCACCTGCATATCGTCAATGTCGGAGACTCCTTTTGGAATTTCGATCAGTATCTAATCTCCATCGGCACATCACCCGTGACTGATCTGACGTATACAGCCCTATGGCTGGCCCTCCGTCTCGGCTTCGATCTTCTTCTTCCTCTTGTAGCGGCCACGCAGGGGTGGCAACCATTCAGGCCAACCCATCAGCCTACAATCTGCAGCCCACAGCCCGCACGATAGGACGACGGCCTGGTATGCGCCCTGAGCTGAGACCCCCCAAAAGGCTCTCCGGAAACCGCGGTAGTCGACATCTTGACCGGCAGTAATGATTCCGAGTGTGGTCTTCTGCCACCCCCCGTTCCTCGATATCCGAATTTGCCGCCCCCCCGGCATCTCCGGTAATAATACTATTGGCCCGGCCAGCTTCAACCGGCGCAGACGTAACATGACGTGTGAAAGCGTTAATTTTGCTCCGGGTGTTCTGACATGCCTAGTTAACCCCGAGCTTGGGGGGGTCTGGTCCTCAGACGGCGCGCGTGCTCTGCCTCGACGGTATTTGGAGATACATGCTGTAGCTAAGAGCCTCTATCACCGAGTTGCTCGACATCTAGATCATCCGTGACCCTGAGCGAGACAAGTCCCAGGTACATTCATGTAACACTCCTCTGCAGTACGCCCAACTACCCAATTATAAATGTTGAGCAGCGGTATAGAATGCTGTTCGCTGCATCTAAGCGACGAGTGGCGACTGGTCGCCTAGCTATTCGGCACACGCGTTTATGCTAGAAGGGAGGGTCTGGTTGGGCCTATTTCCCCTATGTTCGGGCAGGAATCAACTTTGCGGTCATAACAAGACGAGGTCAGTTGTCGTCCGAGAAAGCGTATCGGTAGTTGAAAGCATAGGCTGGCCTTGAAAGGGTCCAAACCAATAACCTTAACCCCTTTTTCTACCGCATTCCCGAATGTACCGCCGTCGGACTATCCGGTTTCTGGCTTCCTCACCGTCAAAGGTTATCGGAGTTGACGTGGCCCGATACCTTAGATACCTAACTTAATGTTTAGGTGTGGCCACGCTGAGCTCCTTTTCTCCTGTCCAAGCGACCCCGTGGATTCCACCGCCATGTGACTATCACCGCTGCTATCCCCTGGCAAATGCCTCGATACAATGCCACACTACGCTACCTTGTCGTTTATAGGCCTCCTATTCGCAACAAAGATTACCTACCTAGATATCTAGGTATGTAGTTACATATGTACATTATATGGGGTGGTAACCTTAAGGCAGACGGGCGATGAATGGAAAAAGGACCTGCCAGGATGGGTAATCTCTAAACGGCTATACCTGCATACCAGCTAAGAGGAATTAGACATAGTTTTGATAACGGCTCAGCAGTTCTACGAGGTTCCTCCAACAGTGGAACCAGAGCAGGTATAAGTGATTTGGTGGTTAAATCCATCGTTGCCATCGATAGGCCCCGCGTCCGATTCGCAGCTGATGCATTTTAGGTTTTATTTCGTATAAGTTTTGTCCTTTCGGCCGCCGACGAATTTAAGATCGGATATTACAGCCACTACCTAGGTACGCGTCATGCGATCTTCGTGGAGCCTATATGCAGATAGCGGGCATAGAACCTGACTCTGGTTATAACATGAATACCGAACCTATAAACCTAACTACTGCTACGGCCCTTCGTATATATAAAGAACACCCCCCCCCCGGGTACTCTCATCCCTTATCACCCTCCTCCCGGGGCGTCCCATGAGGTTAGGGCTGAGGCTTGTCAAGATGAGGCTAAGGTCTGACATATTCTTAGACACACGAGGAGTGTATGCTCTGCTATGTCTGGATCGTTCCAAAGTGCCTAGTACCTAGGTAGTCTTCAAGTTCGACTAGCAATGTGCTCCCAAGTCAAGCGTTACTATCAGCGTCTCTGGGGCAGAAATGCCGGAAAACGGAGGTCTGAACGTCAGATGGTTGGTATAGAGCTGTGCCAACTACCCACCGCCATCAAGGCAAGCCAAACTTCTAAAGTAACAGTAGGTGGTGTATCTGCGAGCCCAGTTCACCCTAAGTTACCGTCTGTAAAGTAGTTTGGCAGCAGGGTTACTTAGATATCCAGGTTGGGTGCGACATTGGGAAGGGGTAAGTTGTCTTCATTCTAGTATGAATCTAGTCTCGCAGCCGAGTAGTATGCTGGGATGGCGCTTATTCAACTTCGCGAGAAACGTAGTTGTTATACTGATTGCACACCTAGTTCTCTCCTTCCGTTATACGTCTAGTTGCGAAGAGCTTGCTACGGCACGATGTTCCAACCGTCACCAATACATTCACTATTTCTCTAGTTTGAAACTTCTACGTCTCATCGGTAACGCAATCAGATCTTACCATAGATCTAGTCACGGTAACATATCCCAGAACGCTCAAATGTTGTAAGAGAGGCCGGGGCGAAGGAGTGTCAGTCGGTACGGCTGTTGGAACTGGTTGCCTTATATAGATCAATGAGGCTCAGCAGCTCACATGCTGTCTCAGTGGGGGTCTACTTATAAAGTTACATCACTGATTGTCAAGCGGTGCAGAAGTATATCACATACGGGAGGATGTCAGTCAACGTCCATAGTCAACAGTCCCAGAGGGGGGCTATGGTACCATACGCACAATTCCCTAGAATGTAGGTAATAGTTTTGACACCAGAAAAACGCCCTCAAAAGAGAGAGACTTACGATACAGTATGGAATTGCGCTCAGCTGAGATGATGGTGTAGCATTATTCTGTGGTAACTGGGCGGCGAGTTTATCGATCTTACACGGCTCTTCCTCCGCCCTTGCTCATCGGGAATAATCCCTGAGCGTCTAAAGCTATAACTGTGCTGATTAACATTGGGGCAGAATTTCTCTATGTTTTCCAGGGGGCACCCCAGAAGATTTAGAGAAGCTAGGGACACTTGCACATCGAGTTGTAAGCTAAAACTCGTAGTAACTCCAAGACATGAGAAGGCCCAGCTTATAAAAATGCTCTTATTGCTAGAAAAAAAAAACGAAGCAAACAAAGACGCTGTGAGACGAATGGAGTGTATAAATAATGGTTAGCATGTAACATCTGAAAGATGTTTGACGAGCTTGTAGTCGGTTATGTTTACTAAAACTTTATGAAGGTTTGCAAGAAGTTTATAGCATGGTAGCATGGTAGAAAGGTTGTAGTTTGAGAAAAACAAGGAAACTTAAAATGAAAACGCGAGCTCAGCAGGGATCGAACCTGCAATCTTCAGAGGATTAGTTGACGAACCGAAATCTGACGCCTTACCATTAGGCCATGAACCCTGCCTATGGTGTTTAGCTAGGATTTGATCTTTCCATCCTAGTTTATATTCATATAGTGAAGCTGAGTGGGCCGTAGCCTTGGTGGATAACCCAGAGCTCCGGGCTTCCCCTTTCCACGCGGACACTTTTCTACTTAAAGTCAATTACAGATAAGAACTGTCACGTACGACCATAGGATTCAGAAAATTCGGGGTCCCGTTCGCTCCCCCAGAGACAAGCTGGATACCGCCAGATCAGTAGTTGGGTCGGTGACGACCAACGAATCCCTGGTGTTGTACGTTTTTGCCTTTTTTGCCTGTCAACCATTTTCCTCTCTAGGGGGTCTAGGCGAATGTGACTAGATCGAGGGTATCGCTGTGAGGCTCGTTGAAGCTTAGATGGGAGAATACGTGCGTATATAAGCGGTCTGGAGAAAGGAGCTTCGAGATGAATCTGTATCACATATGATGGGCAGTGCCAGGTGTGGGATGTACGAGGCTGGTCCCTACGAAGAGTAGCAAATGAATAGCGCTCAAGGAACTTAACCTATATGTTAAATATTGACATTGGTTGACTTGGTGGTATCGTGAAGAATCAAGATGAGGGGATACGTCGGCAAAGACAAATCCAGGGGTCGGTACATTATATTATATGAACTTAGCGACAATTAGCTGCTCTATCTATGGAGCTTCGTAGTAACCTTCTGAGATGTATAAAAGAAAAAGTAGGGCTGATAACTCGAACGTGAGAACGTATATGGACATATGCCTAGCTGAAGGACGATGATATCAACCAGTGTCAGGCATTAGCCTCATCCCGAAGAGCGTCAGCCCTGACCTCCCAGAATGTCCCGGGGAGAGCCTGACAAGAGATTAGGCTAAGGGCTGACAACCAGATACCTTCATCTTATGGCGATCCTAGGTTCACTCTTAGCTAGTAGTAAGATTCGACGAAGTTGGCCTTTCCAGTCACTTGACCTCTCTTGTCGCGGCATTATTCGAGCTTAACTGACTCTAAGGAGCTCAAAGCGAGATCAAGTTGGATCGCACGAAAGAGACTCTGCTTGTCACTGGGACATTGCCTACGCTTGAATCTAGGTCCCTAATTTATCTTAGGCCCAGGAACCGTGTCTAATTCCATTGCCACATGATCGACGATCCGGGACTGCTCTAGAAGGGTACAGATAGACCCTGGGCAATTGGAACGAGCTTGAGAGGCTTCGAATGGAGCTGTCTTGGTTGGCTATCCAGGAGGTAAGTTAAGTGGCAAGCACACTGACGGGACTGAACAACTCTGCTACTAACTCTACTGGATCTTGCTCGCTTGTGGGGAGTAAGGATCTTGAAAGATGTCGTTGCTTTAGCGACCTAATCTGCGTGATTTGCAGCGTCGTGATGAGTGGTAGGACATTCCTAAGAACCATCATCACTTCAAATGCTAGGTTCCGTGGATGAATCATGCCAGCTCTGGATGTAAGTCTGGTGCTTCAGGGGAAGAATCGATTCCACCTGATCGATGTTGGTACCAAAGCGACCTTGCTTCTCCGACGTCATAGTATGAAGGAATCTCGATGCCTGTTTCCAACTGCCGCCCAGTATTAGGGAGAAAGGGAAAGGGAGCAGTCATCGTCGGGTATCTCTGAAACAACTGAGAGAAGTAGAGCCGAGAACCGCCACCAATAGTCTGACGGCGAGCTAGGGGGCTACGTCTATTGGCTGGGGAACGAATAGGGGAGCGAAAGGACGGGCGGTAGCCTAGGGAGAAGTCGACTATAATCACAATATCTCTTGACCGAGCGCGCTTATGGATAATACAGTTCAATCTGGGTCTCTATTGTACGATAGCTAAGGAAGCCTGCTATTTTATTACAGGAGGTGAGGTCCATTTTAGCACCTGCAGCTCGCGAGCGGTTGCAGATTGAGGCTATATCTTTATTTAGCAACCTCCTAAAAATAAATGCCTGGCGGATCCTCGTGGTACCCAGATCCCGCGACGTGACGAAGGGGTGAGGAGGTAGGGCTGGGCCGCAAGGGAGCGAGGGACGTCCGGAAGACGGTTGGAGGCCTGGAGGCTTAACGCCGTCCTGTACCTTCTGGTACACTCGACCGATAGGGGCGAGTGATAACAAGGCAGATGACTTGCATGTACCCCTTCGCAGTTGGTGTTCGTCAGCTCAGCGAGCCGACGCCGTGGTACTTGGCGTTGGCACGGACACACACCCCCTCTCGAGACCCAGGCTCTCGTCGTCACCGACGACCTCGACGAAAGGGAACCGGCGAATCGAGGTCGCCTCGCAGGCTCCCAGGCGCCTGCAGAGGCAGTCGAGCGCGGGAGGCAAATGCCAGCCCGGTGTTTCCCCCTATTCGCGGGCGTGTACTCGCGACGGCGGGACGCGGGCTTACGCGCATAGGGGCGAAGCGCCCGGCTACCTGGGCTCTTCCCCAGCTTTGAGCAGATCAGCCCAGGAGGCAACGGCGCGGCGGTAGTGGTGGTGGTGGTGGTGCCGCCTCTGTGCCTTGCAGGAAGGATTCACAGGTGGTGGTAGTCGCCTGTAGGGCGGACATGTATCTTGCTGCAGGTGATCTGGGCCCGTGTTCCCAAAAATAGCGTTAAACGCCCGACTCGCAGATTTTGTTTTTCTTTTTTTTCATGCGGATGGTGACGTCGCGGCGCTCAATTACGCGCATACGAGCACGAGGGAGGGAGAAGAGACGGGGGGAAATCTTCTAGAAGACGAACACCCCTTTTTTGCTCCCCTGGGAAGAGCGAGTAGCGAGTAGCGAGCCATACACCGCGTCAGTTGCCGTCATGCCAGATGGCAGGGCGCTTAGATGATTTCTGGCTGGGCGGCTATTTCGAGCCTCGGTGCCCTATCATTGGATGACGGTTACTTGTGACTAAGACGTGGGTATGGAGCAACTTACCTGTAATTTTTTTGTAGAAGTTTTTCTTGTTCTTGTAAATTTGATAGGCTGGTGTGAATGAGAAAAGAAACAATATGAGATTGCAGGTCTAGCATCTGTCTAGCGTGATCCAAGCCGTGATGTTGTGGATATTATATGAGGCTCAAGGGCAGAAGGGCGCTGTTTATTGTTTAGGCGGCCCCTAAATTGGCCCTGGCGGACAATGAGGGTCACTACATCAGTACGTGGGGTACCTAGCAGGTACCTATCCGCCTGCCAGTCTGCCCGCCTACAGTTGACTGCTTGGCGTGGAATAGCTGACGTGCATAAGGCTAATTGCTGTGGTTATGCCGCTGTAAGAAGTTCTCTTACAGACGTCTTCAGAGCCAACATTATGCACGTGCCTATCCCATACCCAAGGCCACAGCCATGACTGCGGCCACATCTACGGCCGTGACTGACAGCTACACACATTCGTGTATGTACACAGAGGACATACAGGTGGTACATGGCATTTTACACATGCGCGTACGTGCATTTGCTGACCGCCAACCAACACAACACAGCTTGTGATCTATCACACCGTGCTAACCTCTTCACCCCTTGTACTACCCCATTGTTTTCATTACAAGCTACGTGCCTAGCAGCCTGGGAGCCAAGGGGACAACGTGGCTGCGCGGGTTCTGCCAGGTAGTCGAGAGAACTCGTGACGCTTGGAAACGGAGCACTGACCTTCGGCAAGACAAGCGTGTTGTCTAAAAAAGGAGATACACCGACATTATCGAAGCTGACGGGGACCAACGTCGAAGTGACCGCTCCCGAATTTCCCACATCGTGTCCAACTCTGGTTGCCCTGCCTCCCATTCCAAACCTCGCTCTGTGCTAACATGCCGAAACCAAACCAACCCGTCGGGTCGAGGCAAATAACCCTTTCTGTCGGCTGCCTCCCTGCGTTGCCCTGACCGAGATGCTTTCCGCAGCTCTCCAAGTCGAGGCTAGTGAGATACCTCCATACGAAGCTACAAGTACTCTCCAGGTCAGGTCTTCTAACCGGGTCCATAGGTACATAGATGTAGGCATCTTGCAAATTGTTGTCAGCATGCCGCGTGCCTTGCGCTTACGAGCCGGCCGGCTGTTGGACGCGACGATCCAGGTTACGCCAAAAGCACGGTAAGCAAGGGTAGCAATAGGCCATTCATTTCTCGCTTTGACTAGCCTGTCTACAGCGTCGGGACTGGCCTCCCCCAAGTCACACCTGGTCGGCTTGTCAGCCAGAAGACGCATATCTTGGCTTGATGAGTCTCACAGGATTCAGATCTACACGACGGCTACAGTTTCTAGCTGTTTTGTACTATTCAACGGCCCGATACCTGGTGGCGATGGCATGCGACGACTCGGTCACCCGTTCTAGCCCAATAGGAATAGCTCCCCTTCACCTTTTTCTTCTTACGGAAGGCTGACGGCCCCCAAGGGTACTTTGGTACTGTCCCGCCTGTCCGCCCAAGTCGTACCGCTTACCGCAACAGTACACATCTCCAAGCGGGACGAGGGGGTCGCGGGCATCAAGGGGAGGATTTTACATCTCCGGACCGCTGGCGAAGTGGTCTCGTCGACTTCGGGCTCATTGGGCCCGCCGTCGTGCTGGGCTGTCATGGGTACTCCCTCGCCGTCAGCCCGACGCAACGTTCTACGATTCCCACCTCCGCTTTCTAGTATTAGCGCTATGAGGGGGGTAGCAGTGAAGTGAACCTTATTGGGGTGAGATGGTGGTGAGATGCGAAAAGGAATAGTACTCCCGTACGTACATGCAATAGCCGCATGCGAATCCTTCTGCTCTCCAGTCGTGGCCGCGGTCATGCATGGGATACTCGTCACAGTACCGAAGACGTTTCTTGTGCCCCTACCACGGGCTCCCTGGGCGGCTGCACGTTTCGCAGGCCGAACCCGCAGACGTTTCCGCGCATTTCTAAGGAAAGAAACCGGAGTTCCTGGCTACGAGACGAGTTTTATTACACGCGGCGCGCGGCACGCGGGGCGGATCGATCTCCCTCGTCTCGTCAGCTCGTCCGATGTTGGTTTCGCCTGTCGTAGCGAGGGACATGGCACCGGGCCAATGAG